GCTTCCCAGATGATGCTACTAGCATCCCAGGTGATGCCTCTAGCATCTCAGACGATGCCTCTGGCGTCACAGTTGGTTTCTTGGGTGAGCTCCTAATTTGAAATTTACGCAGTTTGGAGCTCACTTTTGTTGACCTCGCCTTAGTCCCTTAGTCCCTTTAGTCCCTTAGTCCCTTTAGTCCCTTAGTCCCTTTAGTCCCTTAGTCCCTTTAGTCCCTTAGTCCCTTTAGTCTCTTTAGTCCCTTAGTCCCTTATTTCAATTTGAAATCAAGTGCTCTTTTTTCTGTTTAAATTCAGATTGAAATTAAATAACCCATAGTATGCATAAGAGATAGACTTTTGAAATATTTTCGACTGCAAGAAAAGAAACAACAAGTCCTGCTGATCTACTTACCCATGCTGCTGGACGTTGTGCGTTGTGTTGTTGAAGTAGCGTTTATCGAGACTAAAAACGACAAGAAAATGTAATAAAATTCTGAAAATATTTTGTATTTAAATGATACCGCTTTGAATAGTGTACGGTCCAACAGTAGCTTTAAATGAATTTGGTGGTGGACCGGAATTGATTAACCAAAAACTGATCTTATATTGTTGTTGTGGAATAGTTGTAAATTTTTGCCAAAGATAATCAGGACTTGAAGGGCTGCCATCAAGAAAGCTGTACGTGCCATTACGAGCACATTGGCTGGGTAATATACCCCCAGAAAGTCGACTTGAATTCATATTACAAACGGAGTATCCAGTGAGTTGACCTGTTTCGAAATCACCATTAACCAATAAATTGGTGCTGGTATTATTCATTTTAACGAAAATATCGTCTATACACCAATAAGCAGGATCGTGTCGAAAAGAAAATGATAATAGAGTAAGATTAGACGTTGCACGATAGTTATATTGGTAATATGTATAATTATTAGCTGACGAATTCACCAGAGATAATAATGTTGTAGTTGCATTTGTAGATAACGTGGGACATACAGTCATGGGATTTGACGTTGTCGCGGTAGTTACTGATGCTTCAATGATGCAAAAAAGCACACAGTATTGAATGAAATCTTCGATATCTGTTTACCTGAAACTGTTAACGGCGATGTTGTCGCTGACGGCTGTCTTGTCGCTGACGAAGATGAAGCACCTGAAAGTAAATATATAGAAACACAGAATATCATATGTAAAAGATAGTTCACTTGTAGCAGAAATAGTCACATTAATAGAATTCGGTGCTGGACCGAAATTTTGCAACCAAAAACTAATTTGATATCGTTTCTGAGGAACAGTTGCAAATGTTTGACTGAGATAGTCTCCCGGCGCATGGCTGCTATCTAGAAAGCTATAATTCCCACTATGAGCGCATGTAGCAAATACGCCGCCAGAAGGATAAAGGTCTGATGAGGAGCACAATGAATAATTGGTCAAATTGCCATATTCAAAGCCACCATTAACAATCAAATTAGTACGATTGCTACTGCTGTTATATTGCGTTACCGAAATATCATCGAGACACCAGTAACTTGGTACTTGATAAAGTATAAATGTGAGTGTTGTTAAATTCGATCTTGCTTGATATAAATATTGATAGTAGGTATAATTGAAAGAAGATGAATTAACACGAGATAATAAGATTATTGTAGAATTATTATTCTGTGAATTTATTGTACATGGAACAATTGGAACTGGAATGAAAGAAATATGTTGTATAAATCGATTGATGCGTATAAATCTTACTCGAAGTAGTATTTAAACTGCTGCCATTTGTTGGTAGTCCTATAATATGTGAAAACCGAAAATACTTAACCAATCTTTAAAGAATCAGCACATTTCAATAAAGGAAGTACCGAAGATTTCAAAAATCTGACGAAAAAACGTGAGCACCTCTTTATCACTTAAAGCTATTCTTAATGACTCTATTATATTATTCACTGTCGTTAAAAGTTGTATTTAACATATTTCAGACAATATATCTGCGCCTATGAACATTAGAATTTAGATATTTTTTTGATTGCCCTTTTCGAGTCGTCCACAACTGTAACAACGAAAAAGTCGATTGACATTTTACAGCGAAACATCAAATAGAAATTAGGTTGCGGAATTATCCCAACGCATTTGGAAAACATATTACAGCAGACAAATCAACTTGTAGAAGGCGTATACTAATAACAGAAGAAATATTCCGCCGAAAGTGAAGCTGTTTGTGGAAATGTACGCGAATTCTGTGTCAGAACTTTCACAAAAGGTTCTAGATTACTAGAAGCATTAGCATACCGAATGATGATAGACTAATATTTTCACTGAATGAGGCTCTTGTAGATACTAAAGCCCAAACACACCATTCTTTGGAAGATTCTTTTTGTACAAGTTGCGAATTGAAATTTATGGTCAGATTTGACAGACCGAATGTTCATCGAATCTTCGACCACTCAAGTATTTCGTATGTAGACTCATGAACGATCATACCTTCAAAATGTTTATAAAAGATCTGGCTACATTGGAAAATACAATCACTAACAATAGTCAAAAAATTTTTTACAAAAAAATGAGGTAGTGATATGTTAGTAATAAGTATATGAGGGAGCTCGAAAAACCAGTCAGTACCGATTTATCTTTTGTTCAGTAATTAGAGGGTTCCATCCAGTGGCGAACCCAGGAGGGAAGCCGACAATGCGATTGCACTCCATTCGAGCTTGACTTCACGTTTTCTCTAATGGTTCGCCTTGAAAATTTTTCATTTTTGTGTCATCTGCTTCACCCTTCCACTTATCCGCTCTCCTCCACCTTCAGCAATTTCTGGATCTGCAATTGGTTTCATTCAAAGATGAAGCCTTGAAGCAAAATTGATGAAACAAGTACAGCTCAGAAAAGTAAGGTTCGTGTTGTAGATATTAGAAATTGTCTGTGAATATTTGTTTTTGCTCTGGTTTACGTAATTATTGAAAAATCATACATCTTTAGCAATGAAAATTTTATCGTTGGGTGTGAGTGTAGGTGTAGATCTTCTTTTAGCCAGCATCCACACTCACATCTTAATTGGAAGCTATCTCTATATTTACCTGTAGCATTGAATGGTCGTTGAGTGGTATACGGAGTAACGGTTGTTGGTCCTGGACAACAAGTAGATTCAGAGTGAATCAATTTTGAAACAAGAATACTAACCATTCATAGTGCTGGTTGGTCCAACTGTTGCATTGAATTGATTGGGTATTGAACCCAAATTCTGTAGCCAAAATGAGATGGTATAGTAGTTTTGTGGAACAGTTATGAATGTTTGGAATAGATAATCCCCTCTTCCAGTCGTGCCATCATAGTAGCTGTAATTACCAGTGCGAGGATAACTCCGACTAATGGTGCCACTTGCATAGAATCCCAATGGTGCACATGTAGCAAATGGAGAAAGTGATCCTGTCTCAAATCTGCCATTGATGATCAGATTGCTACTGGTATTTAAAGGAGTAACAGAAATATCATCCATACACCAGTAACTTCGACCTTGTCGAAAGCCAAATGCTAAAGTTGTACGATTGGATGTTGCACGATATGTATATCGGAAGAATGTATAGTTGAACGCTGATGAATTTACAATTGATACTAATAGTATCGTTGAATTGTTGGTTAGGGACAGAGTTGGACATGGTAGGTTGGTAGCTGTTAGAAGGCAAGATCAAAGAGAACAATTTTATTCTTCGAAAACCATGCGATATTTTATGTCAACATGGTTTGCTAATGATTATCGTCTATTCAAGTCTATTAACTCTAAGTGGGAGAATACTGACTTCGATAGTTAACAGCTTACGAGTGCTGCGTTATAAGATACAGATTGTATTACTTGTAAAGGTATTCATGCGGAAAGAATTCCTAACATAGTCTAGTCATTCAATGTGTTCGTGTTGGAATACACCTATGCTCTCAGTTTGAACGCTTTTTATTGATATACATAGTCCTGCATCGTTATCTCTATATCCTTATACCTATATGTTTACCTCGATACCCTCATGGACGGCGCACCAGCAATAAAAGGGACAGCAATCGCTTCTCCTAAAAAACTGCGGAAATAATAAATTTATATTGCTTCTCCAAATTGCTCATGTTTTCTTTGTATAATAGAGCCAAACTACAGAATTCAACACACATATACTTAATACGAATCTGCAGTTAATACAGGAGGATTCATAGCCGGTATGCCAGCAGTACATGGAGTAGCGTTTACTTACTCTAAAAGAAATTAAAGAAGCAATAACTACCTATTACTTCCTCTAAATGAATCCGCTTTATCAATATTAATATATAGTAGAACATATATTTAACTTTAACTTCACTATTCATATCGACCTAAACGCCGCACCAACGGCGTTATGATTACAATTGCGTCCCCTGCAAGATTTGCCTTGCGCTGTTCATGGATACCCGCATACCTATACTCTTGTCCCTACACTCGTATATGGTTACGTTTATCAGTATATTTTCAGACCTATACCCTCATATGTATAGTATTTTACCTATAGATGGATACTTCTTTCTTAATGTCTCTGTCGTCATGGTCGTACTCTGATGCCGATATTGCGTCAAATAGACATTCTATAAATGCTAGCCTTTTGTCAAATAAAAATCTGAACATTTTTGAATGAAGCTCAATATTCCTTCGAAACATATGTACGTATATGCATATTTTATTTCCTTGGATGCCACGTATCAAATAATTTATGAGATTACAAAAGAACGATTCATCTCTACTCAGAAGATTTTTTTAGTGAGTGAGCAGAAGAGCACGAAGATTTTTGTGGAAAAGTTTATCCAGCCAAACTACTGTGTATGTCTTTATTCATATTGGAAGCAACTTGGTTGTCACATAAGCAGTTCATCAATGAGATATAAGGGTCACAAAAGGAAGAGAAGTAGACATATGGCTTTACAATACATCATTTTGATTGTTAAAGGAACAGAAGATAAGAAAACATGTATAGAGATGAAAGAACGAGACAATAGAAACGTAAGTTCATATTTATTATCTGTGTTGCTAGCAAGTTATGTTTGACGAGAACAAAATAAGCCATGTTGAAGTGTGTCATTAGTGAAATGAATGATATATACATATTCATACTTTTATTAGGGATAAAGCAGTTACCATCACTTGACGGCCTTTACAAAAAATAAATCATCGAAAAAAATTCAGTCGAGTATCGTGAAAGCAGTAGGAAAAAATACGAAATATTCAATTATTTTTTAACCTAATCTCTTATAATCAATTGAGCATATCATAAAGGTAATACTCTGGATATGGATCATTAGAAAGTTTGCTAAAAACTAAAAAGAACGGTACAGTATGCCAAATTATCACATGGAAAAGGTTAACTGAATTGTTACCCCTATGTTATCTTATCTACAGCTTTTAAAACTTGGTCGAGGCAATTTTTAGTTAGATTAGACTGTTTCCAATTTATTTACATTTGTTCATTTTGTTCTTCATCTACTTCTTGCAAAACAATAAACTACACACTACACTCTAAAAAATTTCCGTCTCCTAGGAAACTAAAATCAGTTCGGAAACCCTTTCGGAAACCTTTTTTGGTTTCCAAAAGGGTTTCCGATCACCGAAATCGTTTTCGAAAATACCTTATTGGTTTCCGAGGTTTCGGAAACCTTTTGGTTTTCGAGAGTACCGAATTCGATGCGCGTAGGGTATTCTAGAATACCTTTTCATCATTGGCGCAAACCAAATTAGTATATTCGGAAACCTGTTGGGTATTTTAGGAAACCGATTCTGTCCTAAAAGTTGTTTGGGTATCTAAAGAGGTATCCGAGAATACCTT